CCCGCACGCTTGCATGAATCCACACTTGATATTGTGCAGGAATACCTGCGTCCGCTCGGTGGCATGAATCCCCCCTTCATATTGTGAATGAATACCTGCGTCCGCCTGGTGACATCCAAACTTTTCGGTGGCATGAATCCCCCCTTCATATTGTGAATGAATACCTCCCCCTTCATATTGTGAATGAATACCTGCGTCCGCTCGGTGGCATGAATCCCCCCTTCATATTGTGAATGAATACCTGCGTCCGCCTGGTGACATCCAAACTTTATATTGTGCAGGAATACCTGCGTCCGCTCGGTGACATGAATCCACCCTTCATATTGTGCAGGAATACCTGCGTCCGCTCGGTGACATGAATCCACCCTTCATATTGTGCAGGAATACCTGCGTCCGCTCGGTGACATGAATCCACCAGGAATAGCCGCGTTCAGTTGCCGGCCGTTAGCGTTTCTCGATGGAACGCTGGTCAGACGTTTCTCCGCATTGCTCGCCGTGCCTTGCTTCCTTTTTGAAGTTCCGTCTTCCTTTTTAATTTGATGACTTTGCGGCGGAGGGTTTCTGAGCTCTGGGTGCGGCCGCTCTCCCCTCCGTGATTTTGGTGAGGGGGCGGCAGCCGGCAGGTGAAGAAATAAAGAAGGAAGCGCATTGTTTCGGCTCTGGTTCCCACCTCGCACGCCCTTCTCCTTTATGTTTACGAAGCCGTCTGAATACCGCTAGAGAGGTTGCGGTTTTATTTTATGAGCATCTGCATTGTTGTTTTGTTTCTGTTTTCATGTCTCGGAGCTCGAAGTGTCACCAGTCGCTGCTTCCTGCTTCCCCGTGTTGGCCAAGCATGTGCAGAGCGCCCTTACCCCCCCCTTCTCAATCATGGGAAGGTCCTTGTAATGGGCTGGCTCCACGGGCCCCTAACCCGCTCCAGTCCCAGGCTCAGGAATCCTCATGTTTGTTTAGGGCAGGCGTGCCAGACAAGCTATTTCTGTTCTGTCTGTATCCTCCTCGTATCTTCCTGGAGGGGTTTAGAGGAACGGCTTTTTGGGTTTTCTTTTTACTGCGATCTGCTTAAAGTGCGTGTTCAGCCCCAAAACCTGGCGGCCATTTTCTATCTTTTAACGGTAACGTGTCCATTGCCCTTGGAAGTGTTTCTTTCAAACTAATTTGTGTTCAAGGAGGGCCAGGCATTGGAGGGCCAGGCAAGGAGGGCCAGGCAAGGAGGGCCAGGCAAGGAGGGCCAGGCAAGGAGGGCCAGGCAAGGAGGGCCAGGCATTGGAGGGCCAGGCATTGGAGGGCCAGGCATGGCACGTAAAGATATCAAGTCAGGGGTGTCGGCTCTGGTAGCACACCCCAGTAAGAGTTCAAATAAATCCCAAGATAAAATGGGGGGCTTTTAGGGTAGAACCGTATAGCGGGAACATGGATCCAATATAAAAACCAACCATTTTATTTACACTTGGGTAAAATGCGTATAAAGAGATCGTAGAAAACTAAAACAATGCGGAGTGAATAAAGCCCACACAATAGTGTATTGTACTAACATGACACGACAGTCCCTTTATTGTAGAATAACCATCATGAGGAATGACACCGATATTCAAACGAGATTTGGGACCTGAAGCTCCTTCACGCAACGCGTTTCGCTAGAAAGTAGCTTCCTCAGGAGGTCATGGAGGGCCCAGACTGGTGAGGGCCCAGACTGGTGAGGGCCCAGACTGGTGAGGGCCCAGACTGGTGAGGGCCCAGACTGGTGAGGGGCATGCATTTACAGCTTACTGTATATACCCAACTTACTTAGACCAACACCTAGGAGATGCATCCGGCTGGGGGGCCAGGGCCAGACTTGGCTGGGGGGCCAGACTTGGCTGGGGGGCCATAGGGTGACAACGCTTCCCCTACATACGTACAGTGCGGCAAGTGAGCGTTGTCCCCCCACAATAAAAATGCTCCCCGTCACTAAACTTGGTTTTGGATTCGGCACGCAGGTTGTGATGGAAAATAATTTGAATCTTTTGGAATTTTTGGTATTTTTCAATAATG